CTTGCAAGTTAACTCTGGCATGCCATCCTTTCAGAGGTCGTTGACAAGATTTATTCAGAGAAGGGGCATTGCTTTCCTCTAAGACTGGCAGCATGTAACATGCCCATTGTGGCATGCTCCAGATTCCTAGTCTAACATTCAAATCCGTGAAACTCGGGTTGGTGGTTCATGATTATCTCAGGCTTGAGCTTTCTGGGCCAGAATCTAAAACCTAGCTACAGGTTTAAAGATAAAAGTAAAGTTTTTCCCTTGACATTAAGTCTAGCCGTGTCCCACTCTGAGATGTGGTGCTCATCTCCATTTCTAAGTTGGAGAGTCGGCGTTGTCCATAGACGCTTCCAAAGTCATCTGGCTGGAATGACTGCATGGATTGCCGTTGCCTTCCCGCTGCGGCAGTACCTATTGATCACCTCACATTTGCATGTTTTCGAACATCTAGGTTGACAGCAGCTGGGGCTAGCAATGGAAACTCACCTGCTCCCAAGATTCAAACCGTTGACCTTTCAGTCAGCAAGTTCAGTGATTTAACCCACTGCGTCACCAAGGGCTCTTAGTGATGTCTTAGATGTCATTAAGCTTTAAGCTTTAAGTATCAATGGCAGTTGTTCACACCTTATCATTCAACACACACACTATATTTTCCTGTTTTGAAATTAAGACCAGTCCCTTAGCCAAAGAGGCTGTTCCCAAATCGAGGTGAAATGAGGGGGTTATTCCTAATTACTTTTTAGGTAGGCTAAATAAGGAACGTTTAACCTATCCAACTTGCTTCTAGCTAGAAGGTGAATGGAGGAGAGTGGAAGGGGTCTTTGTGCTATAAAGATTGAAAGGGAAGGAGGAAGCTCACTAAGTAAACATCTACCTTCCTAAGACCCGTCGCAAACTAGGCTCCTGCGGGAGCAAACCTTGCCAGCACGTCCCTGACGTCATGAGACTCCGCCTCTCGCCCCGCCCCTTTCTCAGCCTCTTTCTCCGTGCCAGAGTGGTTTTTCCTTTGCTAGGGCAGCATTGCCAGCATACTCTCTCAGTTGGCAGAATTCAACCGAGAGAATACGCTGGCAGTGCTGCCCTAGCAAAGGAAAAACCACTCTGGCACGGAGAAAGGGGCGGAGAAAGGGGCGGGGAGAGAGGCGCAGTCTCATGACGTCAGGGACGTGCTGGCAAGGTTTGCTCCCGCAGGAAGCTAGTTTGCGGCGGCTCATAGAGAGTCTACGCAAGTTGCAGCAACAATCAGTGTCATTTTAACATTGTAACAAGTTGCTGTGCTGGAGATTTGCACATAGGCTTTTCTCTTGCCTGGATTTGAGCCCAACAAAATTGGAGAATCACGCACTCCTATAAAAACTGGCAGTTTACAGCTAAACCAATCTCCGTAATCTGGCAACCCCAACTAAACCATACTAGCTCCTCATAGCATAGCACGCTGAAAGTATTGTTCTCTTTTTTGTGTGTCAGGAGCGACTTGAGAAACTGCAAGTCGCTTCTGGTGTGAGAGAATTGGCTGTCTGCAAGGACGTTGCACAGGGGAAGCCTGGATGTTTGGATGTTTTACCATCTTTGTGGGAGGCTTCTCTCATGTCCCCGCACAGGGAGCTGAAGCTGACAGAGGGAGCTCATCCATGCTCTTCCCAGATTCGAACCTGTCTGTCTTCAATCATGCTGGCACATGGGCTTAACCCATTGTGCCACCGGGGGCCTTGGGGTGTATCCACTGAAACCCCCTTGCATGCTAGTGATGGAGCAGCACTTCTGTTTTACTGGAAGGTGCTTCCACCAGGTTTTCAGGAATTGCTCCCCCTACATCCCTGCTACACAGTTTACCCTATTCAGTGGGGTCCTACTATCTGAAGGATTTTCAGGATATAGAGTGAAGAATTGAGGGTTTGGACTAACCCAGTAGCACAGCCTAAATCTGGATCCAGCCCATCACATGTCAGTGGTAGCTATTATGTATTCAGTTCCTGTCATGTGTTCTGACCCTGCTGATCCTACTTTTTTAAATTTCAGCTTGAGGGGGATTCATATAACTCTTGTGGGTTTGGATGCACCAAACCAGCCCTTCTCTCCCTTCCACTCTCCTTCCCAATCGGACACGTTTACAAACACACACACTTCTCTGACTGAAAGTATTCTTCTTTTGCCCTCAAAAGGAATTTAGAATTACCCGGCATGATGCTCAGACACCGCAGCCAAGCCCTTTAACAATTAGGGCAAATAGAGACTAAAGAATTTTTCCTTTGACAGTGTCGTGCCAATGGCAGAGAGACCTGCTTTGTTGCCATCTAATGTGAGAGCCAAAGACTACATAATGCAGTTGGCATCTGTTATTGAGGTGGGGGCTGAGTTCTTGTCACTTATCAGTGCTCCTCCCCGACACATGGATGGCTTTTGTTTCCAGAAGATAAATCTATTTAGTCTCTGGTGAGTTGCAGCATGGATAGGACTGTACCAGGGATGGAAATGGAAATATGCAGGTTTCTGAGCAGAATGGCTGTAGGAGCCAAAAGGCAAGTGGCAAAGGAAACCCAATAGCTTGAAAAGCACAATGATTTGTTCAGAGAAGGGCAGGGAACTGAGATAAAAAAGCCCTGCTAAGATCAGAAACTCTGGCGTGCACAGTGCCCCATTGTTCAGCTGTCACACTTCCCTTTACTTTATTGCTTTTGTCCAACACCCTATTGTTCCACTTCCTTTTGTCCCCATTCAGTGTGCTGGCTTTTCATTACCCAGCCAGCCCTGTTGTTTTCATTTCTTTTGTCTGAAGTTCCTGAGAGGAAGGTTTTATTTTCAGCAGTTTGATTAATTCACAGCTTGAGACAGGCTTTGTTTGTTATGTAATTACTGCCCTGCGCTTTTCCAGAGCTCCGAGTGGCAGCAATGGTGGCACTTGGCCAGTTGCAATGGCTGCGTTTGCCCTAAACCTGTTATGCTTCTGCTCCTGTTTTGTCTTGGTGTAGCCTGGGAGGGCTGTGTGGTTGCTTTGCATGAATTTCCATTCTGGGAGAGGTGAGAGGTCCAATGCAAGATGCTCCGGGGAGTCAATTTGCTCATTACATATTTTATATATTGATATTTCTTTTTTATTTATTAATTTTTAAAAATATCAGAATATACAGTTAACCATTTTTTGAAAAATGCGTTACTAAAGAACCAATATCTGTGATGGAAAAGTACATGGTATTTTGGGAAAATAAACACATACATATATTTAACATCTTAATACAACTAATATAATTTCAATTCAAGAAAAATAATGTGCAGTGTATCTATGCTGTTTGCACAAAAATTGCGTATATACAGTATATATCTTTCACTCTGTCAGTGCTTCTTATAGCTGATCCAAGAATTTTCTCTTCTAATTTTGGTTATGTTTCCACATACTTCTGTATTGGGGAGAGACAACATAAATGCACTATTCTTCATGAACAGGGATTCTCAACCTTTTTTAGTCTGCAGGTATATTTAAAAATTTGACAAACTGCAATGGGCATCAGCACAAAATGACTGCAATGAGGGGTCATTAATGGTAGCTGTAGGATATGAGTATTGATAGTTACTGTTGGGGTGTATGTAGTCAGGAAGACCATGGAACCTGCCTACAAAGGACAGCATTCGTTGGAGTCCAAAATACGGAACCAGATAATTAATGGCCTTCCCCTGTACTACCACACATACTGTGCAAAACTTCTGTAATTTCAGAGAAAACAAACTAGTGAGGTTCAGTGACAAATAACCTGCACCCACATGAATATAAACCAAAGGGAAACCAAAATCAAATCCCTTTAAAATGGTCTTTTGAACTTAATCCTACAGGACACCCATTTCACAGAAGACAAGCCAGTTACTTTTTTCCAGTAAATTCTAAATAAATTCCATTACAATTAATTTCTCTAAATTAATAGAAGGATTAGCCCAGCCTGACCTGCCAATTACTTCTAATACTACTCATTTCCCTTCACCCAGCCAAGTCCCTTTCTTTTCTTTTTGAAAGCTACCTCACTTTCTTGTCTCCTCCCTTCTTGTAGCTACTCAAGTAGGCCATCCAGAGCTAACGGAAAACATTTAGCTTCTTGACTGTTTTAGTTCTCTTGGGTACACAGGAACAATTAAAGACATTCCGTTTTTCTCCCATAATAACAGAGATACTCTCTCATTCACATAAACCTCATGCACATAAACCAGGTATGGGAAAACTTAGGTGTTTTGGTGTTTAGGTGTTTTGGACTTCAACTCCCACAATTCCTAACATCCTACCGCCTGTTAGGAATTGTGAGAGTTGAAGTCCAAAGCATCTGGACAACCAAAGTTTGCCCACACCTGATGTAAACCATACTCTGTTGTCACCAATGAGTAAAGCTGATTCAGTTCAAGAGGACTTCTTTTACACTACAACATGTCTCTTAGCTCTCAGGGTGGAGAAAATGTAAAGTGCATCTTTTTAAATTTGACATCTAGGGTTTGTATTATTCTGTATAGTGAGAGCCTGTATCTTCAGGGAATACTGATTTTGCATAGATACATGATAATGCCTATATTTTGTTGGATGTGGATAAATTAAATTACAGAAGGTGGTCCTGCATATACCAGGGTGTGTATGTGTATGTGTGTGTGTGAGAGAGACTATCATTTTATTTCATTTTCAGTATTCTTAATCTTGAGGTTATTAGTAGTCTGGAGCATTTGATATGGTGGACAGTTCTGTTATTTGCTATTTTTTTTGTTATATTACATATTTCATCTTTTAGTGGTGAATGGGAGTTCAGAAAAGAGCAGTTCAATATATGTGCATATGCATAAATATATACTTAGCTCCTTTGAGTTTTAAGAATTCTCATTCAATTCAATAGTGAAGAAATGTCCTCACTATTTAATCCTTTACTAAATATTTTAGTGAAATCATGTTGCGGAAAGCATATACTTTTATGAAAAATATGAGACTGATCCACCTTTCTCTTCCTTTTTTTTCATGCTAATTTTTCTGTATCTCATTTTCCCCCCAGGATGTCCATGAGGAGCCCTGCCTCTCCTCAGCTGGAGCTCAATGGAGCTGGGAACATGGTGAACTGTGCCATTAAGACAGAAGAGAAGAACGAGAATTGCTACGAGTCTACATGGGGAGAGGCAACCAGCACCACACCTGCCTCTGACAAACTACAGAAATCACCCTTGCCACTGAATGAAGTTACTGACTCCCCAATTCTCTTACAGGTCAGGCAAAAACTGTATTTCTTTGTATTTAGAACATCCCTAGTGACAAGGAGAAAAAAAAAGCTAACAAAGGAGTACAGAGTGTCCCAAAAGTCACCATATATAGAAAAAGATAACAAACTCATGTTATTATATTATATATATTTAAATATATATATTTGCTCAATCTGCAGAAATACACCAGAAACATGGTTTCATGTGACATCTTTCTTATCTTTAAGTCATCAGTACCAAGGAGTGCATCTACGCTTACATAATGACAGTTATCTTGGAATGTGTTCTCCATGATTAGGAGAGAAGACTGTGTGCACATAGAAAGACAAAAGGTTAATTTGACTTCTCCCCAGTATCTACCGATAATTCACATGATATTTTGCTCTTTCCGTGAGCATAAAGTTGGCCTTTGTTTGTTATCCTTTGCTTCCTGTTTGCTTTGAGGGTACTATTCTGTGCACTGTGTAGCTGTACCTTTTTGTCATGGCCTTGGTCTTGTACAATAAACTATTTGATCGAAGTGTAAACAAAGAAGTGACCAACACATAAAGTCTATCTATGATAGAGAATATAAATTTAACTACAATTTCCCATTTTGCTATGTATGGTGATTTTGGAGATACTCTCTATAATCTCACTTGTATGAGGCTCAAGTCCTTTTTGCTGTCTGAAGCTCCATATGTGCATCCACGTGATTTCAAAAATACTATAATAAAATATTAATATCTAATACTCTGGAAATCAGGATTCTAATACCCACTTGGCTCTGGAAACCACTGGGTGACCCCGGGCAAGTCATATTTTTTCAACCTCAGAGGACAGCAAAGGCAAAACCCTGTTATGAGTTTGCCTTAGGATCTCTATGTCAGAAATGAATTGAAGGCATGTAGCAACAGTCAGCCAGGAATAGCTGAAGTTTTTTTTTTTCATGGGAGATCCATGTAGAGCACATTGCAATAATCTGAATGGGAGGTTGACATGATTAGAGTAACTGTTATTCCATAACTGTTATAAAATCATAAGAGGAGCCATTCTGGATCCAGTCAAATACTTTTCTTTTTAGTGTAGTTTATGTCTAGCAAGCCATTTATAGATGGGAAGTCTAAGGCAGGACATGCGTTCAACAGCACTCTCTGAGTCATGTTCCTCAGCAACTGGTATACAGTGACTTAATGCTTTTGAAATCTGAGGTAATATGTAGCTTTCATGAGAAGTAATAATTATCATTTATGCACCTATGTAATCCCTTTTTAAACCATCCAAGTTGATAGTCATCACTACATTCAGTTTCACAATTCAGTTCCCTTTATCTATCCTGAATCTTCCACCATTCAGCTTCAGTGGATGACCCCATGACTCTAGTACTAAGAAGGGGGGGGGGGGAGACCCCTAATTCTTGTATATTTCAGCCTTAAATTGACAAGAGGCACTATGAACCACCTATGTTTCTAGTGACAATGTTAGAACCTAGAACCTAGAGCATTCTTAGATTAGGCATCACATCCTTTGGGAGGAGGACAGCCTCCTCCAGAACATGGGTGAACTCTACTTACCTTGGACAGATACATTACTCCTAAAAGTCTGAATTGTTTTGGCCCAATTTATTACCCTGCTCAAGCAATGGTTCCAAATGACAACTGCCTCGACTCTAGTCAATGAAAAAGTGAGATAGAGCTGGGTGTCTTCTACATGTCGATCCAGATGTCAGCCCACATCTCCTTATGACCTCACCCAGTGGCTTCCTATAGAAGTTTAAAAGTATAGAATATAAAAAAGTCTCTGTGGAACACCACAAGGTAACAATAAAAGATAACAATAATCTGCAATACCAACTCCTGGAATTAGTCATTTAAGTAGAAACAAGCAAAGAGCCATCTTTGTACAGATACTTACCTGTAATACTAATACCCATTCCTATATGGTCTGGGTTGTTGCGAGTTTTTTGGGCTGTATGGCCATTTTCCAGAAGCATTCTCTTCTTACATTAAGTAAGGCCAATGATACTGATAGCTAGTAAGAATGAACCCTCTTAGCTGAGCAGTACACTAGCTGAATCCTCAATCTATCATGAATTCCCAAGGCAATACCTACTCAAACTGATGTCAAATCTGATAAGGAAGAACCCATCCCAATCCTTGAGTTTATATTGGTGCTCTATTGAGTACTCAAGAGGGCACAGCTAGCAAGGACTAATATCACCCTTGGTTATACAAACTACCTGCTACTCCTTCTCACACTCTGACATATACAAACTTCCACAACTACATCATCCACAAGAGAAGTTTTATTTTGAATGAACTGGATATTCAGCCTTAGTTCCAACAAGTCTATTGCTAGTGAGGCATGCAAGAATACTTTGGTGGGATAAGAAACAGAAGAAGCAACAGGCATAAGATGCCCATTTATTTTTCTCAATTACCCCATTAGAATCCAACCAATATACTTCCTCCTATCCATGACCACACTGATACTGTCTTTCTTCCCTGTTGCTCATTTAATCTGCAATCCATCACAGCAATTTAATTCATACTATACTTGGTGAGTTTAAAACCATTTGAAAGGGAGAGGGGTGGAGCAGGATGAAATTTTTCCCTTCTGTAAAATAAGTACCTTAAGTCACTAATTTAATGACTAAGTAGTTTCACTAAGACAGTGATGGACAGGTACTGTTAGATTTCGGTTCCCATTATCCTTCACTGAATTGCAGTCTAAAATCTGGAGAATCTCAACTTGGTCACTCTTGCTTGAGATTATGCTTGGATGCACCTTTCTCAAAAGGAAGATTTTGGGAGGCGTGGTTCTTGATGGCTAATGATGGCTCACATTCTTTTAGGAACCTTCATCTCCAGCAGACAAAGCATTATTGAATTGCAGGAACTCTGCATTTGAGTCTACATTTTCCAGCCGAGAAAAGTTGGATTTTAATAAAAACTTAAAAGAAGGTAGGAAGTTTTGTTTTTGTTTACAATTCAGCTCCTGCTTCGAATTTTCTTTCAGTCTTCGGAGGTCATAATTTTGCTGCAAATATGCTTTGTGTTTATGGGACCCAAAATTCAGCCCTTGGCACTAATTAAAGTATCTCAGCTTGTAAGGCTGTGAAAGATCCTGCTTGAGGTCTCTTGTGAAGGTACTCGAAATGACGATTAAAGACACAAAATCTGTACAATCGACCTGCATAGGTGATAGGTATAGTGGGGGAGAGAAAGATAATACTGTTTCAGCATGTTTAAGACTTATGTTATTTTTATTATAGCATGCGTGTTTATGGATAAATGAAACCTACTTCTTCAGATGCAGGATCAAGTGAAATGAAAGACTCAGGTTATAAAGCATATTTGGATAGTTGTGGAAATGGAATGGGATGTAATAGGACCCAGAAAGATAGAAATTATGACTTTCATCCTAAATTTTGAAAGTGCTGAATAAAGTACAGGTCGATCAGATGTTTGCAATGGTCAGTGCAGTCAGTGCTGATGTGTAAAAACCAATACATCTGTTTATCAAGAGTTAGTTTTCCTTGGATTCAAAACCTTCTCTGAGAAGATTCCTTTTGTTACATGTGCTGTATCAAAGACTTTTGTATTAATATATGTAGTATGTCATAAAGCTATTGCCTTTGTTCATACCTCCATTAATGGATTGAATTTATTACTATAATTCAACTTAGCTGTTTTGGAAAGTAGTTGCTTATGTATCTTTTTAGCCTTTCCTTATCCAAGGCAGTTTGTAGGGGCTACAGGTCTATTTGATTACACCAAAACTTGTTTAATAGCTTTAGTATGTTCATATTACACCAAAACAAACAAAACATTTAGTCATGTTTTCTCTTACAGAGGAAACCATATTATATTAGATTAGATGGAGTTTATTTTCAATCCTAGCTTTTGGCAATCATATGCTTAAGATCACCTTGTGAATTTCGTAATTCATTAATTTTCATCTTGGCTTTTGACAGATTGGCTACCTTGGCCTTTGAGAAATTGCTCCTCAATGACGCAAGCTGGTTTTCATTTGTATTATTAGTAGATTGTTTACAGTAGTTTTTGAAACTCTTTATTTTCAAGCTACAGTGATTTCTGAAACCTTTTCTTTTCAAATCACATGACTATTTTCACAATGTTGCCCAACAGTAATGCCGACCATTGAGAAGTTATTGTCCAGTGACTGGAAGGAGAGACTTCTGGGGAAAAACCCCATGGAATCCAAAGAAGTAAAAGGTGAGCAGTTGGAATAGTTTAGGAACCAGACCACAGCAATGAGATATCATTTGGCTTATCCTATAGAGATGGCAGCACATCCATAGACTATCTTCCTCCTATAATCTTTAAGACTGGAGCTATGGCTTTGCAGACTAGGCTGACTTGATGGCAAGCTATGGTTTTAACGGACTGCTTTTAGGACAACGACTTAAATTGGCGATTGTTTTAATGTTTTTATAATGCTTTTATACTGCTTTTACTTAATATGCATATTTATGTTTTTTGTTGTTAGCCACCCTGAGTCCCTCTGTAGAGGTCGAGATAGGATGGGATATAAATGCACTAAATAAATAAATAAATAAATAAATAAATAAATAAAGGCACTGGAGAAGTAGAAGCTACAGACTGTTCCACAGTGTCATAAAAAAAGCTTTGGAAGGTGGAAAATATCAATCCAGCAGTGGTTCTTTGTCTCCACTATTAAAGGCAAAATCTAAAAAATCACTAAACTATCTGTGAACTTCATTGATTTTTGACTAATTTGATTTTTAACTAATATTCAATCTTTCTCCCAGCATGGAACCCAAGGCATCTCACAATATAGGTTAAAATTTAATGGTTGGAACTATTTGTGTTGCAAAATGCAGTTACTGCCATCATATTGCAGAGTTAGATTTCACCTTTTCTTTTCCATCTTTGGATTCTTGCATGGCCCAGGAACCCAAGAAAGCTTGGCAGAGAAAGAGTTGCAGCTGTTGGTTATGATTAACCAGCTATCCATCCTACGAGACCAGCTTTTGACAGCCCATTCAGAGCAGAAGAACATGGCAGCTATGTTGTTTGAGAAGCAGCAGCAACAGATGGAGCTGGCCAGACAGCAGCAGGAACAGGTAGACAACCAATTGAACCGAATTTGCCTTTTCCAATTTCAGAATGTAATTGAAAAATTGGGAACCTATATAAACCTGGTGGGAATCTTATGAATTTTGTCTTGAGGTGGTGAGTTTAGCAGCACTTTTTGTTGAGTGATAGTGGAATAGAAAACAACCTAGGAATATTGCTGCCTATCTACATTATGTTGTCAGAGGCACCATGAATTGTGGGATAGGGGCCACTCACATGATGTAACATAAAACCCTAAACACTGAATGTTATACTGCAAAGACTGTAACATTAATGTTCAGCATAGGAAAATACACCTGTTCAAAGTGAATATGTTTGCAAAGTTCATGCAATATGATGCTCTTGTGATAAAAGAGGCACTGCTGGTGGATCCAGAGAAATCACATTAGTCAGTTCCAATAAATAAAGTGTCCTGTGAAACATTTAAAGATGATATAATTTTTGCAGTTTCATCCTTCATACATAAAGATAGAACAAGATAGAGTAGGTGTGCCACCAACATGCTACCACATTGAGAGAAAGGTCTTCACATCTTCATGCTTTTTTTAAAAAAATAATCACCAAAGCCTTTAGAACAAAGCACAAAAAATTCTAGTTTGGGGAAGGCATCAATAACTATAGCCTCAAGAGTTGGACTACAATTACTAGAATTCCACATAATTTCATATACAGGTTAAGGGTGACGGGAAATGTAGTCAAATTGTGTTTTTCGGACCGAGTCCCCTTGGGGAGATAGGACAGGATAGAAATAAAGTTTTGTATTATTATTATTATTATTATTATTATTATTATTATTATTATTATTAACCCACAGCTCCCCAAAAAGGGAGTTGCCACAGGTGCCTACTCCTTGCTAAGGAACACATATATAGTCATGTCTACATGTTTGGTTAAAGGACAGGGTTGCAGGAAAAGCCAATGTGGTGATTTGAACTTTGGGCTACAACTCTGGAGGACATGTTTCAAATCCATGCTCAACCATGAAGATCCACTGAGTAACCTTGGACAATTCACACTATGTCAGCCACAGTAGATGACAAAGCTATCTCCTCCCCCCAAAATACATCTTGCCATTGCCAATAAAACACTGTGATAGATCCACTTTAGGCTTGCCATAAGTTGGAAACAACTTGATGGCACCAGCAACAAGCTGGGATGGAGAGTTTGACACAAAACAATGTGGGCACATCCTGATGTAATTTGTTGGAGTTTAGCCATTTTCTCACAAAGTAGAATTCAGTTCTTTGAATGTTTACTCAGCAATAAGTCTGCGTGCAAGAGCTTTTCTGCCTGCAAAGTAGGACTTAATTCCACATGACAGTTTTTTTCTTGTCAAGTAGAGCTTATATTTAAAGTTTAATATCATTCAAAACCCTTATTTTTCTGATCTTTTTTTGAAGATCACAGTGAAAATATCTGCCTTTTATACAATAAGATCCTAATATGTGGGATATACTACCTGATATTTCACTACTTCTGTGAAACCATGCTATTGTAGCATTTCTGATACCTATTTTGATGTTCTATTTTATGTTGATAGTTTTGTTTTGTCTCCTTTATAATTTGCCTTTCAATGTTTTATTAACATAAAGCTTCAAATTTATTCTCATTCATCTTCCATCTCTTTTTTATTGTATCTCCCCCCCCCTCACCCTTTAAAACCCATTTTCTATCAAATGGCTGTAGTTCTTTCCTGAATTGCAAGGTGATTAGGAGGTTATCCATAATAATGGATATGAGGGAGTAGTTGAAGAAACTTAAAGGGAAATGTGATGTGACCTGAACTGAGAGCATTACTTGTTTTGTTTATCATATAGCAGGTATTATCAGGTATATACATTAACTGTATTGAGAAACTTGCTTGTTTTTCTAGTGTCAAATGATCAGAGATTATCTCTTGGTTTGAGATATTTCTCATTCTTCTTAGATGGCCTCCAGCTAGACACAACCTGATTCTTCATTGTCTTTCCGTCTTGCAGATTGCCAAGCAACAGCAGCAGCTTATCCAGCAGCAACACAAGATCAACCTGCTACAGCAGCAGATCCAGGTAAAAGGGGGGCTCTTTTTTCCTTTAGGAATAGTCAGGAAGATTGACTTAAATGTAGTTAATGCCTCCTCCTGCAATTCAGTTCCAATCCAAACCAACCCTCCTTGAAAGGCATCTCAACCATCATTAGCGTTAGACCTGAAACTTCAGCTGTTTTTCATTACAATGGGGCATAAGTAAACATTTGTGTGCTGACACATAGGTTGGGTAGTTACACACATTCATTTTGTAATACTTAGATACTACACTAATAGGGTAGAAAATTGAAAGGTCTGTGTAGATATTTTTCATTTGGGTGTGAACTTTAAAAAGATCCAGGGCCCTTCCACACAGCCCTATATCCCAGAATATCAAGGCAGGAAAACCTATAATATCTGCTTTGAACTGGGTTATCTGAGTCCACACTCAGACAATGTGGGATATCCTGTCTTGATATTCTGGGATATAGGGCTGTGTGGAAGGGCCCCAGTCAAATCCTTCTAGGTCAGTGGTTCTCAACCTGTGGGTCCCTAGGTGTTTTGGCCTTCAACTCCCAGAAATACTAACAGCTGGTAAACTGGCTGGGATTTCTGGGAGTTGTAGGCCAAAACACCTGGGGACCCATAGGTTGAGAATCGCTGCTCTAGATGATCTTGGATAGCCCTGGTCAGTTAGTGTTCCTGAAGGCAATTTTAATTTGGCCGTACACTTCCCTTGTTCTTTTCTCTTCAGCAGGTCAATATGCCGTATGTAATGATTCCAGCCTTTCCTCCCAGTCACCAGCCTCTACCCGTCACCTCTGATCCTCAAGTGGCACTTCCCATCCAGCCAATTCCCTGTAAACCAGGTATGAAGAGGCCAAGACATTTAGAATTCTTTGTAATGGATCACAGGGTTCTTGGGTGCCTTTGTACAATTGTCTTTGGATGAGTGGTGATTCATTAACAAATGTTTCTGTTGGAGTTTGTGATAACTACATCAGTCCCTACAGTTGGTGAATCACTTCCTTAGATTTCAATAACTAAAAAACAATAATAGTCAGAGCACATTGATTTGATGGACTGTTTCTAGAGTAAGTTTGGTCTGTGGTGTAATTGCCAGAGCTTTGTGATCCTCACCACGATACTTCCTTCCTCAACTGTAATAAGGATAGCTTTAAAATCTGCTTAATTTGCACACATTTTCAAGCTGATTTTAGGTTTTCCATTTCTTCATACAGAAATTGTATTTCCTTGAGATGCCGAGTGTAAAAATTGTGTTTTTGCTTAATTATATACTCCAAATCCTTCTGTATCTGTATTATCTGTAGTGGAATACCCAATGCAACTGCTGCACAGCCCCCCTCCTTCAGCAGTGAAGAGACCTGCAAGCTCAGGCCACCTGCAAATCCAGGTGAAACTCTTGAACTGTTTTATTTCTTGGCCTTCTATACTCTACTAGGGATGCAATCTCATCTCTTTTTCTTCTTTCTCCTTTGTAGGAATCATCGCAGCCACTGAACTTAACAGCAAAGTCCAAAGGTTCTGAGCTCTCCAATACTTCCAGTTCACCTAACTTAAAGATCAGCAACTGTCAGTCACTTGCTCCTAACCATGGTGTTTGTCAGGAGCTGCAGACCAACCCTCCCAGCCTTCCTTTGGGTAAGAACATAGAGATTTCTCTTGCGTTGCTTCTAAGCTATTACAAACATGATTCCACATTTAAATAGTTCATACTTTACATTACTCTCTGGGTATTTCTCAGTTTCATGCCATCCTGGATTCATGAAAGGTCCAAACATGACATTTCTCAAAATTCTCTTTGGTGTTATTCTCCCATAATTGTTATTCTTGTATAGATCTCTGTTGTACCAGCTTTGGAAAAAAAAATATTTTCGGACTGTAACTCACAATTCTCCAACAGGGAGATTCTGGCAGTTGTGATTCAAATGATAGTGTTTCCAAGCTTTGGTTTGCATGTACAAGGTCACAGATCAATTGCCAGCATCCTCAGTTAAAGCTGTGAAAGGTTCCTTCAAACACCCTAGTCAATCGACGTGGATAGTATGAAGCTTGCACCAATAATTTGTCATGGAATAATAAAACTTAATATATCCAAAATCAACACATTCACTTCAGATGTGTTACATTTCCATTTAAGATTCTGCTGATGGTTTTGAAATAGAGAAAGGTTTAGTTTTTGTGTGATAGCTTCTGTTCTGCTAGTGAACAGGAAGATGGCAATGGAAAGCAGTTTCCATTCTAGAGGCACACACACTCAAAATCACTTAAGTATTTTCTCTTTCATTGTCTGATACCCTCAGACAATGAAAAGTGGATTCTAGTCTACAGTAATTATAGTCGAAACTGAACCAAGCGGTGTTAGCATATAGAAATAAATTGATATCGAGTACATGATCTAATATGTTTTACATTAGCAAAAGAATAAGTCTGGAATTTCACAGTAACTGCTGAAAACTGAACAAACTAATAAACCAAAGCAATGCTATGGGGGCAGAGGAAGAAAATCCATGGTGGAAAAACCACGGCTTCCTAAGTCCTGCCATGCTTGCACTTCTTAGAGGTGAAAGAATGGGGGGAGCAGCTCTTCCTTGAGGTTATTGAAAAATTTCCCTCCTATTGTTTCCAACAAGAGCTAATGCCTGCTTCAGGCCAAGTGCATTTTTTATTATTATGGGCATCAAATTGTGCTGTTCTGTAAACCGCCTTGAGTCACCCCCAAGCTGAGTATAGAAATATAGTAAATAAAATAATCATTTTTCCTCATTTCAGAGGTGTATCGAGGGAGTGAAGGGTCTTTGGATGTGATGTATTCAAAGCCTCCCCCTAAACATCCCCAGAACATGCTTCCTTTTTGCTATTAATCCCAACAAAGTAGGGCAGATAGGGTGACCAAAAGTTCTCTTGCCTTCCATTGTGGACTCTAGTGGCTTCTGGCCTCTGGAAAATTCTCTCAAGGAATATGTGATTTCAACTAAACCTTTATTTTACACAAAACCCTTTCAATAATTCTAAGAGAAACATAGCTGAGCATTTTGAAAATATAGCTATAGGACTGCCAGGAATGGCAGACCTTTATCTGTGTGTGACTTTTGGCATTGTTTTCAAGAACATCAGATCTTGTTACCTGACTTCATGACACCAACTACATTTTATTTATTTTATTTTATTTTATTTTATTTTATTTTTAAAAGGGTTCCTTGGAGAAGGAGATGCTATAACCAAAGCAATTCAGGATGCCCGGCAACTTTTGCACAACCAAAGCAGAGCAATAGATGGCTCCCCAAATCATCCTTTCAGGAAGGTATGTAGCTCTTCACTTAAGTTCCATTTCTGATCCAGTCTTCAAAGTGTGGCAATATAAAAATTGTATTCTCTTTTAAAAGCCTGAGTGTGAATCGGTTTTAAGTGAGATGTGTGCAACTCTAATGTTAAATGCAGCACAATCTGTAAAAGAAGTGAATGACATCTGGGTTTTTCAAAGTAACTTTTGTAAAGTGCTGATGAAGGAAAGCTCAAGGCTTGATTCAAGAGTAGGTAAAGATTTTCTCCTGACATTAAGTCCAGTCATGTCCAACTCTATGGGTTGGTGGTCATCTCCATTTCTATGCCGAAGAGCCGCCTATGTCCATAGACACCTCCAAGGTCATGTGGCCAGCATGACTGCATGGAGTGCCATTACCTTTCGGCTGGAGCGGTACCTATTGATCTACTCACATTTGCATGTTTTCAAACTGCTAGGTTGGGGTTAACAGCAGGAGATCCCCCGCTTCCCCAATTTGAAACAGTGACCTTTTGGTAAGCAAGTTCAGCAGCTCAGCAGTTTAACCCACTGCACCACTGGGGCTGCGATTCAAGAGTGGGCTCACATAAATTGACCTAATTGGGCCCCACTTTAGATTGAGCTTGAATTACCTTGGTTGTTAAAATCATTAAAATCTACAGAAAATAAACACTGAATAAAATACAAACTGTGAAAATTTCAATGACAACACACAAAGCTACTGAATAGATACAAAATATCACACAATCTACTAAGTACCTAAATATAAAATGAACAAACAAAATGTAACAAAAAGAGAAAAAGAGGATATTTTTTAAATTCGAACATCTTCCCTTTGAAATTACACTCCATCTATTTATTTAACTAATTTACAAAGTCAATAGTCTCCAAATCACTATCATCTCCCCATCCCAAAAAAGCCAATTGGAATTGTCAATTTTTTTAAAAAATGTTACTCATAATAAACAATGTATCAGTTTTTATGAAATTGCTCAGTTTTAATTACTGTTTAGTAGGCAATAAATTACTCTTCCACTTCTGGGCATATAATAATCTTGCACTTGTTGCCATATATTGAAATCTGCTTCCATGACTTCATTTTGTATACTCTGGTAATGAACAGAGTAGCCTCTCTTGCATGGTTTTTTTTATCTGTATCCAAGAATTCCAGGCTGAGTCAACAAATAAGAGCTGTTGTTATAGATTAGATCTAGTAGCAGGTCATTAGTAGGATCCCTGGGGACTATACATTCACAGGGCTTCACCAGTCTCATATACTTTACAGAAGCCCTGGTATTTCCATGGAGTAGCATCACCCACTGTATTATCATTGGTGGCTTCAGTGGTAGCCTGTTTCATTGGTTCCCTGCCACAGAAGTCAAATACATGAAGGAGAGATGATCAAATTCTCAGTGCCAGCTCCTCCCTAAGATCCCACCATTGCCTCTTAAATTTAGTTGGAACTTTTTTTGTGTGTGTAAGGAGCAACTTGCTTCTGGTGTGAGAGAATTGGCTGTCTGCAAGGACATTGCCCAGGGGATGCCCGGATGTTTTACCATCCTGTGGGAGGCTTCTCTCATATACCCGCATGTGGAATTGGAGCTGACAGACGGGAGTTCCCTGGATTCGGACCACCAACCTTTTGGTCAGCACTCCTGCCAGCACAAGGGTTTAACCCATTGTGCCACCGGGGGGTCCTGTGCAGCCTAAATATGTGACATGAATAGGCAGAACACTCTCTATTCCTCTTTAAGTGCTTCTTTTTTGCAGTACAAAATTTCAGGCATGCTCCTTTTAGTAACAACCACAAATGTGATAGCAGCCTCAAGGAAGACTGCAAGGAGGCACATGTGTCCCATGAGCTACATGTTGCCCAAACTTTGCAGTAAAGGGAAATCTGGGGCAATATGGAGACTGGTGCTTGAACCAAAACGAATTATACCCTTAAATCTGAAACCTGGGGAGGTTTCAACTCATAATTAGCTTAGAAGAGCTTGTACATGAACTCACCATTGCATCAAGTCCAAACGTTAGGTGCATCATTAAATAGTACAGGGTATTCTTGTCGTGCCAAGGAGTGTCATAACATTGGTAGAAAGTGGTCTAACTTTTTAAACTTTTCAGAGTAATGGCAGTAGGAGCTTTCAAGAATGCTGGTTGTTCTTTCAATGAAAAGAGTTTTCCTCTGAAATAGAGAAAATCTGATATTTTCCCCTCCCAGGACCCAGAATCCTGTAGATTGGTCACATCCTGATCTTTGTTTGGTCCTTTGCTATCTTACCAAAGAGTGGCTTTTATATTTTTCAGGGCTTACATTCCCAAGGGTCAACTGGGAACATTCTTTTGTGACCTCTTGAATAACATAAGATGAAAGCAACCACTCTTTCTGGAACATAAAGTGAATGCCATAAAATGCTTCTTTGAAATATATCATTGCTAGCTTCTTTTAAGCTTCCAGACTCTTATAAAATGCAGCTAATTACTTTCAGGACCATGCTGGGTTGGACTCTTCACCTGTGAAAGAACAGGCAGATGAGACTTTCCAGAGACTGGATGAATCCATGTTAGCCTGCGACAGTGATGGTAATGACTGTTGCTCTTCATAAGAACGTCTCCAGGGTATAATTTGGGCTTTTTCATTGTTTCATTGCATACTTTGAAGAATATCAAAGTCCTATAAGGTGAGGATGGGCACAAGTCATAAACTCCACAGTTTCCTAAATTTTCTACAGTAGGAATGGGAATTGCGAAACTTCCAACAATGATTGGACTGCAGTTTCTCTGTCTTCTGAATCCCTATGTGAAGACCCTCCAACTTTGTCCTGCACAGAAATGCCACAGCTCTAGAAGTTGCAAGAGCCTAATGATAACACTATGTAAAAAAAAATTGAAAAAAAAATTGTTCCTGGTTTGAATGTGTTATTTCCTGTTTAATTGTGCTGCACTTACTTTGAAAGTAGTTGTTATACTCCATTTTTTTGTTTTTGTGGCTGCCTCAAACTATGTTGAATTAGTTGAGACTCATTGAGTTATTCATTGAAAAACTATAGCAAAATATGCTACAAGATGTCCTGTAAAAATAAAGTCTTTGCAGTTCAATAAATCTTTTTCATGTTTTTCTGATAAAATAAATTAGGAAATTACATCTATAACCCAGGAACAAAAATAATATTACAGAGTGTAATTTTAGCAGTTTGTGGTTAATAACCAGAAGAGGTACCCATTAAAGCAATGGTTCCTAACCTTTTTTTTAAACCAGGGACCACTCTCCAACATTTGTACCAAAAGGGTTACGAGTTGGTTTTTGGTCAACTTTGGATTCGGTTTGGTTATTTGGGGTGCTGATTCAGAAAATTCCATTGGTTAGACCGCATCAGCTCTAGTTTGTGATACAGAACATATGCCATCCAGTAGTCTCAATCTGCTCACCCACAGAAAACCATATTTAATAACCTAGAGCTGATGTGCTCTATCCAATGTAATTTTCTGAAATGGCACACCAAATAACTCCAGGAACAGGCTAAAAATGCACACCTCACAGACCTTATTTTAGGTCTTGCGGCCCACAGTTTGGGAACTATCGCATTAAAGGGAAGAAGAGGTAATCCTTTAAGGAAGATGATAATGCCTGGTTATTAAAGCATTTACAGGCCAGCAAGTAAACCTGCTGAAATTGTGGGAGCGCAGTCTGTTGTTCATAAACTCTCTTAAACTTAGTTGAGTTGTGCTTTGCGATTTTTAAAAAATCCACACTGTTCCTTGGTTCTTTCTACATAGGCTCTCGGCATTTTCCTGAATCCAGGAACAACAACCACATAAAGCGTCCCATGAATGCCTTCATGGTGTGGGCCAAGGATGAGAGGCGCAAGATCCTGCAGGCTTTTCCAGATATGCACAATTCAAGCATCAGTAAGATTCTAGGTAAGGGAGTGTGCACTGGCAAACATCCTTTAGATCTGTTCCCCAGTGGCTTTGGGTGTTTCTGCAAAGCACATTGTTAGCCCCATACACCCTCAGGCAAGGAACTATTGCTAATCTCATGCAGGTTGCCAGCTGGCTGTGTGCTGCAATAAAAGCATACATGCAAATTCTCACCTCTGTCTCTGGTGATAGTCCATCACAACTGTCTTGGTTCTTCAATTCTAATACCTGAGCATGAGAAACAGATGGAAAAGCAATATATTTTTTAAAAATAACAAAAAAGGGAATTAAAAACTTACGTGTGAGCAGACATAAAGCAAAGACTTTCCCTTTCTCAGAGAATTATATTACAGTTGTGGTTGTGGGCATTTTCTCAAGCTCATAATATGAATTGCAGCTTCAGCACTTATCTCATCAAGGAACTTCTAAATCTCCTACTATACTTCATCCAGCATGGTTAGCAGACGTAACAGCTGGGCAATTCTGTGGGTAGTATTGTAACATTTCTAAACTCTCCTGAAGACTGTGTTTGCACATTCACACACCAATCAGTAGCAAGGCTTTCTGTTGCTCCTAGACATGAGTAGTAAGATGATTTTGCATCTTGTTGTTTCAAGTTTACTTTGTTGCTAGAGGAAAGGGAAAGGGAAGCTTCAAGCCCAGGAAGATGCTAAACTTGACTCTCTTGTGATGTGAAGCAGAGTGCAGATTGGCATTAGTCCAAAACACTAGAGCTTAAGCATCTAGAAAAGAAAGACTTCCAGTAGGTTAGGTATGGGAAACACATGCTGCTGGACTGCACTTTGCAGCCGCTTTGTCAGCATAGGAAATGATAGATGTTCCAGTACAGCAACATTTGGAAGAACCCAGATTTCCCACCCTGGCTTTTGGGAATATTCTCTCTTGCAGCCACCATTCCTTTCTATACATACATACAAACTTTTAATCCACTATTTTGCGAGTAGCAGCAGCACTCTTAGAGCATGAAACATAGATACTGATCTATGATGCTGATTCGGCAGCAAACCACCAAATACCTGAAATGATTTTGAAAATACTGCATGATTATCTGCAGATTTTGTGGCAAAATGATGAGTTCATTCCAAAGTCAGTTTAAATGATAAAATCAGCAAAATATTTACAGAAAGCAAAGGAGGTTAGGTTTAAATCTATTCAGTTAGTTGTTTGGAGTCCCCGGTGGCACAATAGGTTAAAAGGTCAGCAGTTTGAATCTGGGAAGCAGGGTGAGCTCCCATCTGTCAGCTCCAGCCTCCCATGTGGGGACATGAGAGAAGCCTCCCAGAGGATGGTAAAACATCCAGGAGTTCCTGGGCAACATCCTTGCAGACACTCCTGACACAAAACAAAAGTTAGTCATTTTTGGTTCTCATCGTTTTACACCTCCCCCTTTCTTCTAGAAAGCTCAAGGCAGTGTACACCCCCCCCCCCCCCCCCCCCCCACACACACACACAAACACTTTATCTTCACAATAGCCCAATGAGGTAGGTCAGGCTAAGAGAGACTGACTGAGCCAAGGTCATCCAAAGAGGTTTCCTGGTTCAGTGGGAATTTGAACCTAGATTTCTTATGCCTCATTTCTATCCATCAAATTTGTGCTTCTTGCAGAAAGCATCTCCTCGTGGATATGGATCTTCTAGAGAAAACTGAGCAACCTATTCCAAATTCGTTAGGGATCTGTATACCAGACTATTTAGATTGATAATTGTTTAAGACCATCCCTATTAAACAATATTATTCCAACCTTTGTGCTGCAATAAATCAATTCTTTCTTCTCAGCAACACAAATGGAATAGTTTCTTATTTCAAAAGATGTAGGTGCCAAACTGAAACTCAGAGACTATTAGAAAAACAACAGTCCAGGCGACATCTTGACAAGACAGAATGAAATCTCAAATTCACACTCTTACTCCTTTGGAGAGAAAGTTTCATGAGGATCTGGGAGTTTTCTAATGCGTGCTCTATGAATTGAAGCATGTAGCTGGTAGTTATCATTAAAGCAAAGGTGGGCAGCTTATGGTTCTTCCAGATTTTTTTGGACTGCAATGCCCATCCTAACAATTAGGGTTGATGAAGCCTGTAGTTGGCCAAATCTGGTGGGCTGCAATGTGCCCATCCCTGTTGTTTCTGAGTTGTAATTTCAAGAAGACTGCTGCAGCAGTTGCCTCAACCAGATGCCTGGATTTATGCATATTACAAGACAGGCTAGATGATTTTTCTCGACCAGGTACAACAAGGTGTCATGTTTCCCCACCATCAACTAATTTTACATCTTATGTGTTTTGTTTAGCTTCATATGCAGCAAGGATTGCAAAAACTGTAAAAGCATTAGCAATCAATCATTCAAGCAAGCAATTGTGCTCTCAGCAAAGGTCATAATAGCTATTCTTATTTCAAAAAATAAAAACAGCAACAGCCAGAACACAGAGACATATACATACATGCAAGCGTGTGTGTGTATGTGTTTGTAACATAATGGATTAGAAGGCCTAGTAATGACCATCTAAGAGGCAACATCTAAATATTACAAAGTTCATCACCATGACAACACACAACATTTGAATTGACAAAATAGTATTGGATTTTTGTTTATTTTTGCAGTGGCCGCAGGAAGCTGAACCACTTTGCAAGTGATTACCTTGTACTTACCATTCAGCAGAAAATCCAATGTCCGACAATTATCCCTGTTAGTGAATATAACAACCACAAGAGGTTGCCTATAAAGGACTAAACAAAAATAATATAGCAGGAGTTATGCTGCTTTTTCTTTAGAAATAGGAGGCAGTGTTTTGCAAGTATTTCAGATAATCTGTAGCAAACATTATTTCCATGATCTAAAAGCAGAAGCCACTCATTGTTTCAGTGGAAATGGACCTGATAAGAGTAATTTAAGAGGAAAAGGCAGTAAGCTATACTGAGGCAGGGACATCTCTACATTTCCATTCCGCGGGTAGTTAGTAACAAAAGGTGGAGAGAGAAAGACCCTTAAGTTGCAAGGAGTGAGCTTTTTCAAATAATATGTTCAAGTGAGAAGTGATTTTGCAGTCTTATAAAATGGAGACAAGGTTGGTATGGATGTTACAGCTACTTTAGACCAAGCAGCAATACTGGTTTGCCTTAATTAACCAAGTATATTGGGTTTTACTTCTTGAAAAAAAAAGTTTGCTTCCAGAGACAGAATAGCAAGGAAAGGTTATTATAGTATCACATACACCACCATGAAAAAAAGAGCTATTCAACAAGCTTCAGCAAACCTTTTATTCAAAACTAACATTAAGTACATGTGAGATGAAACAACCAAATCAGCCAGGCCATGAATAAGTAAACCAAACCTTTTTGAATCTTTGAGAGACCACTTGACAGCTTGTTCCAAAATGCATTTTGAGATGATTTTTTTTCTTCGTTACAGGCTTTCTTAGCTGAGGTATGTTCATACTTCTTAAATCTGTCCATTATTAGAGAGAAAACTGATAGGAGACAAGGTTGTGCCTTCTCATCTTTCCTGTTTATTTTAGCATTAGAGATACTACTGAGAGATATGAGAAAAGAGAACAGAATTTCTCAAGTGATGTTTTAAAAAGAACAGTATAAACTGAGTGCTTATGTGTGTGATCTTGTGATAATGACCCAAAACTATTGGACTCTATGGTGGCTCTCCTGGAAAAAAGTAAGGCATCTGGGACATGTCCTGGATTCATAGTGGATTGTGGCAAAACACAAATGGTGACTAAAATATAAGCTTAGAAGAGGACAATGGCTTGACTGCTCTTTCAAATTTTGAAGTCGAAATACAGCTTTTGTGTTTTGTAGATTGAATAAAAATAACCTCATTGAATTATTTTGGTGGTATTCCATGACTCAAACATCTATTTTAACAATGTAACCTAGTGCTGCAGTCTCTCGTCATCATCGTTAGTTTAGGCTAGCTGGCTATATGGCTTCAGAAGAGTTCATTCACAGGATGAATATGTTTCAGTGTTGGGATTTGTGGGTCACTCGTGGCATGTTTAATTTGGGATTCTGCGTTGTTGCTAAAATAAATTAGGGCACCTGTTTTCAGGGATGGTAGAATTAGCATGTGTTTTGGCAACCCACATTGATTTAGAGCAGTCGTTCTCAAAGTGTGCTTTGTTGAGTCCATGGAACTCTGTGAAGCATACTGAGAGGCTCCACTACTTCCAACCCTCCCCCTCCCCCTCTCCCTCTCCCTCTCCCAAGCGTTTCCTCCTCTTTCCTTCTCCCCCCTCCCCCACCTCCCTCACCATAAAAGCATTTTTGGGGGGCCTTCCTTGCCCCAAAAAGTCTTCTTCTCCCATCTCCTTCACTGCCCAGATCCTTTTATTCTCACCTTTCTAGCTTCCAAAATGCTATTTCTATCCTACCACTCATGGGGTACTTTGATTGCACTTTTCCTGCATGGGAGAAGGGAGGTGAAATGGATAGCCTCTTGGGTCACTCCTATTATTATTATTATTATTATTATTATTATTATTATTATTATTATTATTATTACAAAGGCACATTGCCATCTGTTGGGGGTGTTTTGATTGTGATTTTCCTGCATGGCAGAATGGGGTTAGACTGGATAGCCCCTGGGATCTTTCACCAAAATACTCTAAAGTCTATGTTGGTTAAAATTGTTCTTCATTTTAAATATTTTGTTCTTTCTTTTCTTTTCTGCACTACAAATGAGATGTGTTCAGTGTGCATATAAATTTGTTCATTTTCCCCCATTAGTTCACACAAACACTCTCCATCCACCTTCAACTGGCCTGGCCCGTCAAATTTTAAAACACAATGTGTCAAAAAGTTTGCCTATGCCTAATACACACACACACACACACACACACACACACACACACACTTCCTGGGGCTCCATGATAAACCTTTGGTTCAAAAAGGGCTACACAGCTGAAAACATTTGAGAACTCCTGACCAAGAGTAACTAAGAACCTTGTGGTGGTTTATTTATTATTATTTA